GGTAAGTTGTAGTGAACAACTACCAACAAGCCTTGTCAGCTTAAAACATAGTGGGTAAGTTGTAGTGAACAACTACCAACATGCCTTGTCAACTTAAAACATAGCGGTAAGTTGTAGTGAACAACTACCAACAAACCTTGTCAACTTAAAATATTCAGATTCATTTGTTGTAATTTCCTGGTTGTTGTCCACTCCTTTTCACTGCTCACACACCCAAGATATTGTTATTGTTTTTATACACCTGTCGAAAGACGGGACAAACTATGTTATCATGTGAGCGGGAGGGCTGGCACGATATCTGCTCAAAACTTCCAGTAATTTTCAATGGATTAAGTTAAAACTTCATAGGAAGATTACTTACCATGAGAGCTCGGACAAGTTGGATAACCACTATCATCCGACTGTAATGACGGAGTTATTCTCCCTGAATCAGATGTGTTTAATCACAATTATCTGACGATAATTATTAGACTTATTCTCCTTGGTTTCATTAATACAGTACTACATGCATTCCATGATGTTTTATTGCACTCATTGATCTACCAGGTATGTTGAATTATGTCATCTTTAACATCAATTACTCCCAAATATTTCATATATTGCAATGGTACAATCAACTGCTCATTCAACGTGTGATGGGCGTATTATGTACAACATGGAGGTAACCTTATTGAGAAATAAGTCTGCTAATTGTCCATTCCGATGGATTTACCACTCACAGGTTGTGTGTTGTATATTTACTAACAACTTGAAGGTAACACTATCAACAGAAATTCTTCTCACTTTACTATGTGATGTTTGCTTAACCTTTTCCAGGATCACCGCAGCTACTTTTTGAGGCTGAAAATCTTAGATAAAGCTTCTGCTCGAATATGTTCATGCTCTGAAAATTGGTCTATGAAATTTTGTTTTTAAAAATATATTTCTTATGATTTTTGGAATTTGTTTATTATGAATGAGTTCATACTTCTTGTTAACATGTAAAATGATATCAAAAACCAAGAAGAAACTATGTAAAATGTGTATTTTATTTTGTTTGTTTTCTTTGAATTATCTGATCACACATGACACACACGTGTGTGCATATCTGCATGTTCATCAATTCATTTTAGCTACATTTTACATAAAACATTTAGTTGCTTACAAAAACATACCAATTTATTAGTAATTTGATGTGTAGTAACTGCTGGTGCATATCTCCTTATAAATACCTTTTAATGACCATAATCATGATAAGTGAGAAGGGCTCATGTATAATTTATTCTATAATGTGTAGGTCACCCGGATATTCAGAAAGTCTTCCTGCGTGCTCAGATAGATCTCAACTTAGCTTTAGGACAACTGTTAAAGGTAAGTATAAAGCCTTTCTGTTTAGAATAGTTCACAAGTCATTAATAGCAACCAATAAATACAGGCTGTAATAAGGTAAATTAGCTATAAACTGGGGTAATAACGAGCAGATGCTGTAATCAGGGGGAGATAACTGGGAGACATATACTCTAAATTGGTAAATGCTGTAACCACAGGGAGATTACCACCTGTTATATGCTGTAAATTTAGGACATATGCTCTAAACAAGAGGAGATAACTCGGAGGTATGTGTTTTACCTTGATGATGTATACTGTAACTAGGGGGTGATAACTAGCATGCTGTGACCGGGGAGATGTAAGCACCAGGTGTGGGCTGTAGCTTTAAGGTAAAATGTAACCAGGGGGAGATAACTGGCAGGTATGTATTGTAATTTGATAAGTGCTGTAATAAGGGGAAGATAATCTGCAGATGTAGGTTGCAACTTTGAAATATATACACTGTAAACAAGGTGGAGATAATTACCAGATATTTTGTGTCCCCTAAAGATATATTCTGTTTCCAGAGAATACATTCCTTAACCAGGGCATATGTACTATATAAGGATATTCAGTCATTCAAACATATCTTTTTGATGAACTTCAATTAAAGGGACTAGGCAAAAGCCCTCACAACTTACTAGGCCCTCTACTATAAACTGTGACCAGATAATTCATCCTTTAAATTGTATTTGAAAAAGTCTTAATTATGTGTTTCTATTTTTGTCAGAATCCACTGTTTGAGGAAGCTGAAGCAGAGTTCCAGACAATGGCTTTCTTTAAGACAAAGATTGGTATACGTAATGCTCTACAGGTACGAAGAGAACTTCATGATGGGTGTTTTATTTATTGACATCTGTATACAGTACCAAATACTGGGAAATGTTTGCCCAGTCAAACTTTTGTCCTTTGGTGGTGAAATCCAAATTTGCACAGTGTTAATTTTGCCCTTCACATTTAATTACTATGTATACCATGTTGTTGACTAATGTTCGCTGTAATGATAAATTTGCCCTCATTCCAGAAGGCGTAAAAAGGCAAAAATTAGACTGCAGTGAAAATTTCAGTGCCTGGAAAAAAAGAAATTTTCAAAATGGAAGCAAGTCAAAACTTATTTTGGGTAGAATTTCATTGTCCTAGGCATGAAAGACTCTGATAGTCGGATCAAGTTCAAAATTGTTCTATTACTCGCATAACAAACAACGCCCTTGTTTCTCTAGGATGAGATGATAACAGGTGCTTCTAGGGACCAAGAAGCACTGCTTATTACCGTAACTCGACCAATAGTCCTGGCCCACCCACTGGCCTTCGACAAAGGTAGGTCATTACTATGACCATCTTTTACAGGCTTTTGATATATTTTATTTATAACTACAAATAAAAATGATTAATTTATGTTCCTGTAATTTGTCACAAGTTTTGATTTATTAATGTATAACAATGTTGTACAAGTATGATGTAGAAAAACTATGACAACTTGGTTTTAGCTCTTGGTTTTAGCATGAAAGTAGCATGTTCCGATTACTGTTGTTGGAATTAACTCATTCACCCCTGAAATTTCATAATGAACTATTCCAACCTTTGAATTAGAGGAGTTCAAATGTGTCTGCAGGGGTGAATGAGTTAATAGGTATACACTGTAACATTGTATATATTGTGTTGTTCACAGCCGTTCTGGTTTGGCTCAACTACAAGAATGCATACGAGTACTGGACTGAGCAGAGGATGGCACTCAACACAGAGGTGAGTACCTACTCAAACATCTGTACAACGTACCTACGGAATACATACATTGTTAGTCATATTTTCTAGGTCAAACTGCAAACGTCTTTAATTTTGCCAGTCAGAGTTTTTTTATTTTTTATTTTAACCTTTAACTTTGACTTCTAGGTGCAAAAAGCCACAAGACAAGTAATGGATAGATTGCCACAATTTTCCTCGGCCAGCCCTGCTGCCTTCAGCACACTCTTCCTACAGTTGACTGTGACAGACATCGGTATCTGTGTACCTGTGGCACCTATGGCACATCAGGTAATTGATCCCAGGATCATCTTTCAGATGAACCCTTTCACCGCTATGTAACTTTAGTAGACTTTACCATGCATTGATCTGGATGAGTCCATTATGGTCTACAGTGGCGAATGGTTTTTAAAAAAAAAAAGCAATTAAGGATCCATGTACCTCTGTCAAAAACTAACTAAAACTAACTATGCATAGCAAACTCGAATCAGCTTGTTCTTGACCAAATAGCTCCTCCTAAACTAATAAGTCAATTTCAGCAAAACTTTATCATGTATTTACAAACTTCATAATTTCTTTTTAAAAAGTGACTGCCCTTATACTTTCTCATACCAGCCCTGTCAAAACACATTTTCCAAAACTATGTTTCCAATCACAATGAAACTTTCTAAAAATGATACACACGGGATAAGCTGAACATCAGTAGGCCAAGTTTTAAGTTTTGTTTTCAAGATGGCTGATGTGGCCTCTGATTGGCAAAGACTATAATAGTTGTCATTGTTTCACTGCCCAAAATGGAAGTGAGACTAAGGTGGTGCTTTTCTGGCGAGGACGGCGTCAACATTAAGTTTTTGTGTTTAAGTTAGTTTCACTAAAAGTATAAGTGCTAGATCAACCATTCTCGCACCTCAGACAGAGATATCCCATGTCATACCCCATGCTAGAGTTTTCTATCTCGTCCGATCTGTCTTGCACCTTTACGTGACATTTCGCGGAATTTTTACACTGCGATGTATTCATCCGCGCGTTTACTGCTTGAAATTGACAATCTGCATTACAAATGTTCTGTTTTGTTGTTATATGTATAGTTTTGATGTTATTAGATATCTTATGTTGTAGATAATATATAATCTACACTGTGAAATACATTGTCATCTATTTAAGAATGGACAGCATTTAAATGTAGCTTAAGTTTTTAGCAAAAAAATATTTTTGATCGAACTAAAAGGTGTGAGAAAAAAAATCAATTACTTGTAACTTAGCAAGATCGGGTTATTTCAGTCTCGGGCTAAGATTCTGTAACATCCCAACCTCGGCTTACGCCTCGGTTGGGATTTTGTTACAGAATCGGTTACAGGTAATAGATTTGATTAAACTTGGACCATAGATGCATCTTAGGTAGTACATCTCAACCCATGCATCAAATGCTGGATGCAGCGTACCTTTCATGGTCCATTGACTTTGTCAGCATCTCCATCAACATTAAGTTTTTGGGTTTAAGTTAGTTTCTCTGATATTTGCATTGATGGTCAAATCGGGGCAAAGGCGAGACATATCAATCCGAATGGCTTGTTAGGTCACCTGAGACAAAGTCTCAAGTGACCTATTGCGATCGCCTTTTGTCCGCCGTCGTCCGTCGTCCGTCGTCCGTCGTCCGTCGTGCGTCCGTAAACAATTTACATTTTCGACTTCTTCTCCAAAACCCCTGAACCAATTTCAATGAAATTTTGCAGGGACCTTCCATGGACAAAGGTCAACAAAAATAGT